CAGGTCTAGGGATTTCGGAGAATCAACAAAAAAGTTAAAAAAAAAGCCAAAAACGGTCAAAAAATGATCATTAGACATTTGCTTTGGTTGGAGTGCAGACTATGTTAGAGTTAACATTAAGAGAACTTTCAGAAAACTTTCATAGAACTTTTTTTTATCAACTTTAAAACCTCTGGGAGCAAGGATATTCGAAAACATCCATATTAAGGACCACTCTAATATGTATATGTATGTTCGAAAACAAATTCACGATATCAGGAGTACGGATCAACCGATTTGAATGATTCAAAACTTATTTTATTTGTTTTGAAGGAATAAAGAAATGATTAAATTTTTGGGAAGGCAGGACCATCGGTTTCAATAAAATAAATTCAATAAAAAAAAGTTTAAAAAAAGCCTATAGAGGATCAAAAATGATCATTAGACATATGCTTTTACGCGCTTCAATATTTTGCTTCAAAAACAACTATGTAGCGAGATTGCTTCGAAAAAAAATCATAATTTTCAAAAACTTCTAAAAAATTTAAAGTTGCAATGGTATAAATTGAATCACTCATGTCTGTAATAATAAAGATATTTTTCACTGCTTTGAAAAACTCGGGTTTGCATGTGCAATTGACATTTCATAACAAACTATTGAAAATCAGGACAACGTGTTTGCGTAGTATGTTATTTTCCATATCATAAACATATTACGTCGCAAGTCTGTCTCATTAGGTGAGTACACATGCAATAGTAGAAACGTAAGAGTCCTGTGTATTTGCCAAGAATTGCCTCGGGGAGCGATAATTTTGTAAAAGATATCCATACATTGCTATATCAGTAGTAATATGTAGTAATCCAAGATATTATTAACCCTTTCCACTCGGGTCTCACAATTCTTAATTAATGTATCAATGTATTAATATTAATGAACAACTTTATGAAAATCTCTCATTAACTGCTACTGTATATCTTTATTTCAATTAGTCCTTTCTTGAAAGTCGTGACATCAGTCACAAATGTGGTTTCTCTCTAGTAGATAATAAATTTATTAAGAATATTTTCTTATGTCATTACAAGCAACGACACTAAGTACACACCAGTAATGTGGAAACTGAACAGGAATATTCTTTTCAATCACATTGCAAATATTTACATAAGATTGCAATACGAGTTTGTATAAGTTAATATAAGAAATATTTTAATAACTTCTGAAAGTTCGAAGAAATGGATATTCTGCGAACTCTGATTTCGCACTAATGATCACAGTTTATATTTATCCAATTGGCGAAGACATATTATATATATATATATATATATATATATTATACACATCTATATATAAATATATATATATATATATATATATATATATATATATATATTTATGTTCTGTATGACTCAGAATCGACCAACATCTTTTTTATACCCCTATGTAGTCTAATTATAGAATTACACCAGTTTTTGTACCAATTGACAATCCAGTGTTTTATTATTGGGTATTGAATTCTGCAAAAGTTCTTATCAACACTGGTCTAAATATAGATTCAATCACTGGTAGTTACATTCAATATTCCTTGAATCTACTTATTGGCAAAGAATATGTATGATAATTCGAAATAATTGGTTTAGAATATAATAAAATCATCTATCATCGTGCTATTGCAATAATGTGGAATTGATTCGCTTCAGAGTATCTGTCAAAGGAATGTTAACAAAAAATATTGAAACTAATTACACCATCCTCTAATTAGGAAGGTCGAACTGCGTTCACGAAATGCTTGGATGTTTTTTGCTCCCAACTTTTGCACAATTGATCTCTGAGAATTTGCTGATTTGGTTCGAAATTTATTTTTTTGCATGCTGCTGTTCGCGCGATCATTTTTTATAGGCGATAAATTCATATTTGATTCTGAGAATATAATAATTCGATAAAATGAAACGCAGACTATAATAAAATATTTGATAATATAATTCCAATTGAAATATATAATTCCACTTAAGTTACGATGTAGTCAAATCAAACATGTTATATTACATATTTTAACTAAATAAAACTTACCTGTCAATGGAGACATGGCGAATGGCGACACAATATTTATGCACTTGAGTTTACGTCAATATTTGTAAATAATTTATAATATTAATTATATTTTACACACTTATTTTAAATATATAGCAAATTAAATGCTCCACCATAAGTTCTTCACTAAGTCTGTCACGTTATTATATTTTTATTGATATATTGTTTACATTCACTCAGCACATTCCCCAGGACATGTTGCTCGTTTTGAGAAATGGCAGATACTAATTGTATGATGTTTATTTTTTCGTTATTTTGGCAACCGCTTTGTATAATATTCAGAATGCAATTGATTCACGTGATTGAACCAACTTCATATTGCAACGTTTATTTGACATTTATTATATTTATATTTTTTTATTTGGATACCTGGTTAACTTCATTGAAGTAAAAAATTATTCAATCTTAAATTAAAACAAGATTAAACCTAATAATACATTTCTTATGCAATTGAAAAAGAAACATTAAATTATTTGAAAAAATAAGCATTATTCAATCTTACATGAAGTTAGTTACGTTTAATTATTTTGACATTTACATAAACTTATTAATTATATTTATATTTTTTATTTAGATACCTGGTTATCTTCATTTTGGTAGAAAATTAACATCAATCTAAAATTAAAACTTGATTAAACCTAATAATACATTTCTGATGCAATTGAAAAAGAAACATTAAATTATTTTGAAAAGGGAAGCATTATTCTATCTTACATGAAGTTAGTCACGTTCATTTACATGATTTATTTATTACATTTATATTTTTTATTTGGATACCTGGTTATATTCATTTAAGTAAAAAATTAATTAATCTTAAATTAAAACGGGATTAAATCTAATAATACATTCCTTAAGCAATTGAAAAGTAACATTAAATTACATTGAAAAATAAACAATATTTAATCTTACTTGAAGTTAGATTCATATATACTCTTTATACAAGTTTGCAACGTAAAAATATATATGTCGTTATACCTTGCTTTTTTGGTTCCGTTTATATTATAATTATATTCCAGTTTTTTAAACGAATTTATTTTTATTTCAGGTACAAAGATAACAAACCGTATCCATGGCCATCAGAATCATCAAGTTTTATCTTATATCCTGATGCTGCTAACCAAACTATTTATACTCGCTCAATTACTGCTGCTGATAAAGGAAATTACTCTTGCCGTTTAAGGAATGATACTCATCTATCAACAAATAATGTCAACTTGGAAATTTTTGGTAAATAAATAATAAATTTATAAGCAATTTAAAAAATCAATGTATATCCATAATATTTATTTTTTTATACTTTTATTCCAAAAATCAATTTCCAAATAATCAAGTCTAATTAATAATTTTCCTTTACAGAACGTTCCCCCGACAAGGCATTAATTAATTTCATATCCGAAAACAAATCCGTACAATTGGGATCTCATGTTCGTTTATATTGTGAAGCATTTGTTGGTAAGTTTTGATCCTCACAATAATGAAGTTATTTTATAGATTTGTATTTTTATTTATCTATCATTATTATTTTTTTAGGTCATGTGAGTCTACCAGATGCACAAAGTAAAATTCATTGGCGATACACTGCTGAAGGAAAAACAACTGAAGAACCACATCATGGCAAAGAACAACATAGCGATAGGTTGGTTTAATAATTTATGATAAGACAATAGACAATAGAAAATTATTTATTATATACTGATTATTTTTGCTTTAGGGAAAATGGTGCTGTGATAGGAGTGATCTTGGATATTCCTAAAGTTCAGCGTCACCATTTTGGTAAATACGTTTGTAATGTTGGATTGCCAGGCAGCGATGAATATATAAAAAAATCTTCAGTTATTTCTGACAGTGGTGTTTCCATGGTAGAAGATACAAGGTATTAATTGATATTTAGTTCTCGCATTATTAGCCTCTTTGACTATTATATAAAAGTTTTTGTACATGGAGTATATATTCATCTGACCCTTTGTATTGTTGCAGGTGGATGAATTCCTCCAACGCCCTGGTGATGGCTGTCATAGTAGCAACATTGTGTGCTCTTCTAGTAATCTTATTTGCAAAAATAATGTATTACAGAAATCAACTGCAAAATAATTCAGAAGTATGTCGTAAAATGGCTGAAGACGCTTGAATTTTGTGTGTGAATACTATTTAAATAATATACCAAAAGTGAAATATGATTTCATTATTGGAGTACTGAAGCATTAAAATCAAATTAATATATTTTGGTCCGAATTATAATCAAATAGGTGAATAAAGACCATTGTAATTGTGATAAATTTGATGAACTATATATTAATAGTATATGAATTCCAAGATTGATTTTTAATTTAATCATTCCAAATTTAAAATGTATTTTCTCATTTAAATGTATATAAATAAATTTATTGTTAGTTTAGTTGAATGAAAGTTGAATCAGTGAGTTTATATAGAAAATATAGTATGGATGTATTGTGATTGAAAATGTATATAAATGGTAGCTGTATTTATAATTTCAATGTCAATAGTTTGGCATTGTGAATAGGTATTATATAATTAATGGCATATATTGTAGAAATATATTTCATACATTTATTATTTATTGTTATGCCTAAATTAATTGTACTTATGAATTAGTTATAAATACCATTAAATGATTGATGCTCAAAAGAATATGTACTTCATATGTTTTTATATTAATTTTGTAAACTGATATTCCACAAGCATCAGGCAACATTTCGACAACATTATTAGAAATACTTGAATGAAATTGCAAATTAAAGATTTGTAGAGGTTTGTGAGTTATTGTTGTATTCAACAATTGAATTTTTTTATATTATTCATTGTAAATAATAATTACAAAAAAGTATGTACTTGTAATATCTGTTAATAAAACTTTTTTATATTGGAAAATTATCTCTTTATTTCATATTGACAATATGAAATTTGATTTAGCCCCTTTATATACAAAAAGTTAATAGAATATATACATTTCATAATATTACATTAAAATACATTTTGCTAACAACAATAAGTACACTTATTTTCCAGGCAAGTTTGCACCCTGTTTTGAACAAACTATAATCTAACATTCTTTAAGTAATAAATGCATTATATATAAACATTAATAACTATAATACTTCAGTGTGATGTAAATATATAACATAATCGATATATTGATTATTTACAAAATAAAATATTTTATTTTATGGCAATTAAAAAAGGTGTTAAAATTTTGTTAAAAATAGAGTTACAAAATATATATACATATGTAACATATAAAATCACTTCAAAAGTTCCAATAATCTTTAATATTCCTATTTTGAGATCACTGAGCACTCAAAAAACGCACATTTATTCATCACTGCGACACAGAAGTCAAATATTCACCTTCACATAATTAATAAGTACTATAAATTAAATTATTTAGTCTTGATGGATTTGTTTTTCATAACTCTAAAAAAAAATTTAATTGCAAATTATTAAGATTAACTTGTTTAGTACAATTAAGCATGTGAAGTTAAAATAAGATAAGTAAATAATTTTTATTTAAGTATCAAATAATTTTATATGCTATCTCACTAACCTGAGACGCAATTCTGGTCAATTGCTCCAGCATTTCAGGTCCAGTTTGTACCACCATTCCACGGAAGGTACCTTCAGGGCTTTGTAACAATTCATGAGGATGACCGAACTCGAGTACTTGACCAGCATCCATTACTAACACTTTATCACAATCCATAACTGTGTTTAGACGATGTGCTATTGTTAGTACTGTACAGGATTGAAATTTGCGTCGAATTGTTTTTTGGATTAAGGCATCAGTTCTAAAATAATTATTTATTAATGTATGTAACATATACATAATAACTAATAAGTACATAATATTATTTAAGTTCATATATGTAAGGTAACTTACTGAGGGTCTACATTAGCTGTGGCTTCATCCAACACTAAGACTTTATTATTTCTTAAAATTGCCCTAGCAAGACAAACCAGTTGGCGTTGTCCAACACTAAAGTTAGATCCACCTTCAGACATTTTTCCAAACAATCCAGCAGGTAATTCCTGGACAGCTTCCTTTAGCTCAACCTTAAAAAAATTGTATTTTAATAATTTTATTCAAAGATAAACCAAATTCTTTTATCGCTCTAAAATAATATTTTAACAATTACCTCACTCAATGCTTGCCACAAAGCACTATCTGGATATTCTTCAAAAGGATCTAGATTGTATCTCATAGTACCAGAAAACAAAACTGGTTCTTGAGGAATAATTGATACTTTGCTTCTCAAGTCATGAAGCCCCATTTCAGCTGTGTCTCGATCATCTATCATTATTGATCCTTCAAGATATGATAATCTTGAAATAAAAAACGCAATTAAGACAAACTCATGAACAAGTATACAATTTGTATCTACACTGCTATTTATAATACCTGAATAAAGCATTGATCAAAGATGATTTTCCAGCTCCTGTGCGACCAACAATGCCAACCTGGTAAAAAAGCATATCCAGAGTCAATATATGATGAATGAAATAAAGTTAATGTATACATACTTTTTCACCGGGCTTGATCTCAAAGTTTAATTTCTTCAAAACTAAAGGTTCTTCTGGTGCGTAACGAAGACATAGATCTTTGAATACAATTTTCCTTTTCTGGCCAACTTGGAGGTGGTTTTTTAGCTGGTTCAGAATCTAATGCAGGCTCAGGTTGCACATTCCTATATTCTAAAACTCTAGAATATAAAGGTTAAAACTTGATATTTTGACTTGATAATAATCACAGTATTTTGAAAAAAATTGTACTGGAATTGTTCTATAATTAATTAGAAATTTAAATAATATTGCAGAATTTAGTGTCTGCATAGCATTAAGTAATTGCAAAGATTGTTTATAAAAGTAACCATATAATGTTTTAATTCACAACACCATAATTACCTCTCAACAGACGTCATTTGATTTTCTAATTCAGCTGATTGCCTCATACCCCACTGGAACATTCCAGTTAAACCGATGGCTTGTGTTATAGCAAGACCAACATTACCTCCAAAGTTTTCTATAGTAAAAAGTTTTATATAAAAAGAATTTTCATAATTTATTTTCTAAAACTTACTAACCATTTCCTAATACCAAGAAGCTTAATGTAACCACAGCAATATATATAACACATATGAGATCCAACCAAAAACCAAAAGCTCTAGATGATGCCAAGAAAATATACCATGCTGAACTATGTAAATCTTGATGGTTATCGAACTCTTGAATTAAAACTTTTTGGGCCCCAAATGCTCGAATGGTAGGAAGGCCAGCTAATGAAGCGGATAAGTGTGAAAATACAGGACTTCGAGCTGAAAATTAATGATTAAAATATAATTTCACAGTAAATATTTATATTCTAATATAAAATTTATATATGTATGCATACTTGTTCCTTCTAATCGTTTAACACTTCTTGAGGTAGCCAAATAGAAGTTTCGCAGAAGATAGAATAGTACACCAACTAAAAATGTTGGTATAAGCAGCCAGTAGTTTACAACTGCCACTACTATTATAATCCCCAATAAACTTAATCCAATCTACAAAATAATAACAATATAATTAGTATTATGAAAAAATCTTATTTAATAACATGCAAACTAAAAAATAACCTTTAATAAAATTACCATAATCCCAAATAATAATATTGAGAAAAAAATGATCTAATTTTTTCTAATTTAAATATTATATATATATATATATATATATATATATATATATTTAATATATAATTAATTTTTAATATTTTACCTGTAAACAATCGATCATCGCAGCAGGCAATAACTCGTCTATTGATCCCATATCCTTTGAAAAACGGTTCAATATCCTTCCAGATGGGTTCGTATTAAAGAAGTACATCGTAGCTCTTGTAATACCAGAAAACATATAGTTGTGTAATTTCATAGAAGCCTTCATACATATTGAAAAGAATAAATACGATCTTCCTAAAGTTATAAAAACTGTGGCCAGTGTTATAGCAGTATAAACGTAGATACAATTGTTAAAATCCCAGAAAGAATCATCATAAGCAAATAGATTGGGCAAAGGTTGAGTATCATTTGTTGAAAACACGTCGTTGAAAGTGGAATTATCGGAATCCATAGAAATATTTTTCATCATTTTAAGAGAAGTGATGTTCCTAGATTCTTCTAAATTTACCCTAAAATAAATTTTGTTTTTAGTGCAAAGTAAATATTAGATTGTAAGTAACCAAATTTCAACAAACCAGAATGTTAAGAAATAATCAGATGCTGATGCAGCGACCTGCGCTAAAATAAGACTTGCAAATAATATAAATAAGACGCAAAAACCTGCTCCAGATTTCATATATTCACCGTATGTCTGAAAAAATAGAAGAAAATAAAATATTCAATACTGTTAATAATTAGCAATGCACAAAATATCCTTTTATAAAATATTCAAACCTTTGCCCCTATACTTCCACTAGCTCTAGTTTCTTCAACTTGTCTTGGCTCATCGTTCATTTTACTCTCATCTATACTATGTACACTTTGTAAACTGATTGACTGGTGTCTGCCTTGAGTAGATGATGCTGATGATCTCCGACTTCCTGGCATGCTAGAATTATCATGTGAATCCTGATGTTCCGACGTTTCGGCCAATAATCTTGCAAAATCGAGACCAGAAGAAGATAACTGGCTGTATGTGCCACGTGCTTGTACACGGCCGTTAGTAATAATTATTATCTAAAAAGAAATAATGACTAAGAAAAAATATTTCCTGAAAAAGTACACATTGTAGCGATTTTACCTCATCTGCTTGTTTTAAATACTGCAACTGATGTGTGACTAAAATTACGGCCTCTCTTCTCAAAAATCCGCTGATGCATTGATCAAAAAGATGTCGACCAACGTGAGAATCTACTGCTGATAATGGATCATCCAATAAGTACAAGTCTGCACGTCGATATACAGCTCTAGCTAAACTGACTCGAGCACGTTGACCACCTGATAAAGATGCACCGCGCTCACCAACGATAGTTTTGTCTCCAAAAGGTAGAAGTGCAAAATCTCGTTCCAAAGCACATTTGCGAACAACCTGAAAGAAAACAATAAGAAATATTAAGCCTATGTTTGACCAAGAAGAGTTTCTCAGGTTGGAACTACCATTTGTTTACCTGTTTGTACCGCTCGCGATCCATGGGTTGCCCAAACAGAATATTTTGTCTTACACTCCCAACAAACAGCCATGGTTCTTGAGCTGCATATGAAACAGTACCATTGACTGAAACTGATCCACTCTCCAAAGGCAATTCTCCTAATATGGCTTCGAGAAGACTACTTTTTCCGGACCCAACTTGACCAATTACAGCAATCAACATTCCAGGTTTGATAGACAAAGATATATCATTTAAAGTATTTTCAGTTTGATTTGGAGTCCATCTTGCTACAGCATTTTCCATTTCCAAAACATTTCCGTTTAGTTTAGTATCACCGATAATTTTGACACCTTCTGAGGATCCTTTTTTGGAAATTTCGGAATATTTGGTACCGTTGCTAATATCATTGTCAGTAGACTGATCGCTTTCTCCAGATTTGCTTGTAGATAATTTGAGGGAGACATCAATATCCGTTTGAGAAATCGGAGTGTTGGCAGACAGGGGCGTTTCATCGTACATCATAAATTTCTCCAAACTGTGATAAACAATTTAATTTAGGAGTTAAGAATTTGTTCTGTATAAAAATATGCATTAAAAATTGACAAATTATCATTGCATGATTGCTATATAACGTCTAATTAAGTATTCTAATAAATCTTAATTAATAGACTATATTGATATTTTACCGTTTTATCGACACAGCAGCTTCAGCAACCTGTCCAATACCTTGTGGGAAAAATACCGTCATAGTTTGCTTCAAAATATTATAATAAGAAGTCAAGACGAATGCCTTCTCAGCAGTAACAACCTGGTATAATAAAGCATAAGCTACCAGACTTACAAAAACACTCAGACGTGTTGAAAACATTATGAAAGAGAGTAGAGTACCACGGATGTAGGATGTTGCACGAATTTCTTTGATTTCTCGCCTGAAAGGATAAAAGACAAGATAAAAGATACATTTGCATTTATAGAAACAATATGTATTTAAGTAAAAAATAACCATTGAAAACATAATTTAGCTTCGATTAACAATATTATATCTAGTACTATGATATGAAATAATGTTGTTGATGCTTATTACTCAGTTTCTCGATTAAAATCAAAATTATACAATTGTTGTTGAAATCAGGATTAGTAATAGATTTACATAAAACCACATGCGATAAATGCATTGATTATGCCTCAATACTTTAACACGTTGAAGACCGCATGCCCACTGGTTGGTAACAAAGCAAAACTATTTCGGGACTACGGTAAGCATGCTATATATGTTACCTGGACCGATTATACACGGATAATGGTTTTTATTTAAATTTTGTACAGCAGTCCAATTTGCTGATTATGAAATTTCGTAAATTTGATATAGCCTCATATTAAATTATATTTATCTATTTTTAACTCATACAAAAATAACGATATTTAATTAGTGCGGTCCCCAACTGTGAAATACTATTTTCGATGCTATCTTCAACGTGTTAAAATCAAACTTCTATTCATAAATGTAAAAATCGAATTAGAAAAAAAAACAGCATATACATGCAATTTGTCTTAACAGTTTTTTAAAATAATAAATATTCAAAAATTGTAAATATTACAAAAAATGACAATTCTACTTGGTATTTGCGCAAAATATATAAAATAGTGTGAGTTATTGAGTAAACATCAACGTACATAGTCTTTAATTACTTATACCAAGAACCATGACATTTGTCCTTGAATTTATTATTATTATTCAACATACAGCATCTTCTGAATAGATTGATCAAATAACTTACTTTCTAGCCAGAGACACGAGATAGGCGAAAGGTTTCTCCCAAGCATACATTTTGATGACTTGGATTCCACATATGATTTCGTTCATAAGTCTAACACGTTCATCAGTCCGCAACGCGGTTCGCATGCGGAGAGTCGATGTACGTTTGCCCAAATAAGCTAAAAAATAAAAAATAAAAAAAATTAAAGAACAATATAAGAATATAATAAGAAATTCACAGAAAAATGTGAGAAGATCCAAATCAATTCGTTTCAGTTTAGCATTGAACTTTAAAGCTATGGCAGAAAATTACCAACCTTCTCTGCAGGAGTGACACTGCTGTACGGGCTAGCATGCCGCCCAAGTATTTGTTACTGAACATATTCCAAGATATTTTATTTTTTTGTTTATTATAACAATTTATAAAGTATAGTGAAATACTATTATTCCTTATCTTAGGTAACAAACAATATAAAATTAGTATGAAAAAACTCACCCTGCAAGGGAACAAATCCTAACATCGTAGCAACACCGATTACGGCAGCAAATTGAACCTATAACAACAAAAAAATTAATTATTTTTTAAAATATTAGAATGCCTATATGCGAATATCATTGGATGTTGAAAGAAGCCATCGGGATATCCATCAATAATAATTATAATGATATTTTAATATATAATCTCTGCTTGGAACGCTAATTGTGAAAATCAGTTAAAAAGCATGTTTGGATTTAAGCAATTAATTTACATTTTATGTGAGTATGTTATTAATTCACCTCTCTGTACATCAAGTACGTAATAATTATAGTTTCTAATGGTCCAATCCACAAATAATGTAAAAAGATAATAGCGATATCAAATCTGCTAACATCATTGGACAACAAATTCACAACCTGTCCAGCAGTTGTGTCTCCGAGTGCGGTTCGACTTAACCGCAAAGCCTAATAAAAAAAACAAAAACATTAAAAAAAACATGTACAAGTAAAACAATGTGATAAAAAATTTTTGTGTAAGATTTCTGTAAGTCTGAAGTTTGTTATGATTAAATGATTTACTAGAATAAAGATTAGCACTTAAGCACAAATTTGACGATTAAATTAAAATATGCCGAATAATAATACTTTGAAAATGCAAAATGTAACAATACATGCGTAATGAACGAAATAATTATGACATAAGCTACAACAGAAATATTTTAAATTTAGTATTACATATTATACTTACATGCATTCATTAAGAGTAAGAGTAAATAGGTAATAGATAGTTCTCAGTTGAGTTACATATTTGCTTTATTTCTAATACGAAATCCGTTGATAGTTGAATAAAATTTTACAGATTGACAAGATTTTGTTGTGTACAATTTAATAATATAAATAAAACATTAAGAAAAATTTGATTGTAAGTACTGGCTAATCCAACAGAATCTTTAAGTATAACCAAATGATGATAAATATATATAGGACCCTAAGTATTTTTAAAATTTTTGTGTACCTTTGGACACCCGATCTAATACAGATATTAACTTACAAATGAAATCTTAACATATGCAAAATTAAATTACTTTAATAAAAAAAAAGTGCACTACTTCAGAACCGAGTTGTTATATTGGTATCAACCAAAATCAATTGTACGTAAAAGAAGTAGAAAAATATACTGAATTACTACAAAGTAGGATATGGAATAGAGTTTTACTACCGTTCAAGCTTCTATATCACATTAATGAGTTGGATGGAAAATTTTAACATTATTGCACGAGGCTGCTCCTGTAGAAAATATCAAACGACAAAATATAAAAACGAATTCAGCGATATCACGACCGGCATCATTAGTTTTTCAACCAATAATAATCGAAATTGAGCACGCAACCTACCAAATTAAGTGAATATTAAGTTTAATAAATTCGCCTTATTTAAAACTTATGTTGAATAAAGAATAAGTTGACTATACGTCCCGATTTGGCCGGGAAAGTCCCGGATTTGCACCTTATGTCCAGGATTTTTGCTAAAAGTTAAATTTGTCCCGGATTTACATATTTTGTCCCGGATTATAGGCAACTTACAAAAAATATGAAAATAAACAAGTGCTTTTATTACTGAATTGAGAAGAAAGTATAGAATTTTATACAATGAAGTTCTTACTAGAAGTCCGCAATAATGATTAAAAAAAAGATTCATATAAAAAAAAGTTTTCTTATTGTAACTTTAAATGGCATATGTTATTCTAAAGAGCGCCCCCCCCCAACACGTCCCGGATTTTTACATCTAACAATTGCCGTCACGGTTTTGTTTAAGAAATATGGTCACCTTAATGAAGAGGTCAAAGTGTTAGTCAAAATGAAGCAGAAGCAACTACTTAAAGATCAAGTTTTGGATTGGCCAGAACAACAAATCATCAATTGATTATAGATTTTTCCCATATTTGTGTTAAGTCATAATCTAATTAAGTATACAAACTGATTGTGAGTGATAATAAACATCTCGCCTTTCTGTAAATGAGTGAACAGCAAGAAACTCTCAGTTTCATCCCGATGTGTGTTAAACCTAGACCATATCGATGGGCAGTCAATACGGATATTGCACTGCACATAATAACACCGCCGGGCATACAAAAAAGCTTCTTGTTTCTCAATGAGAACATTATCAGGTGCGAAGTACATGATCATACCTCGCAGAAACTGTGGCTGTGATATTCTGCAAAAAGCAAATGGAAAAGTACAATACAGATGGAAAGAAGATGGCAGATCTGGTGATCTAAGGAAATTGACACAGATGATCCAATTGAAATGATGTTGGTTTTATTTTTAAACTATCCAACCACTGGTCGAATATTCACAGAGAACCTTAGAGCTATTGTCGAATATTCACAGAGAACCTTAGAGCAAATACATATTTATAATCCCGAGAACAAGAAATTGGACATTAATAAACTGTGCAATAGTGCAATCCAAGTATAAGAGATTTAACAAAGTAGTTGAATCGCAATTCTCAATGAGCCTTCAATGGCCAAATAAATTTCATTTTAGACCTAAAATAATTTAACGTTCATTATGCAGTATCAAAAATGCATCAATTTGCATGCTTTTAGATACGTCCATTATCTATTATTAATGAGCAGTGTTATTCTTGTTACTCGGCAGTGAATACAAATATAAAACAAGTAGTTCTATAAAACCAAAATCATTTCCACGGATGTCACTGCAAAAATTATAAACAAATCCATGACCAAAATTATAAAGAGCAAATCTAAACATCAACATAGGCCAAATATGATATGATCGCAAATCATCAATGAATTACAGGAAGCGGATGGTGACTGCAGATTCTAAACAATGCTATGATGGTGTGCTGTAGTTTCAGATGTGTCATCTGGAAACGTATTAAATTTAAAGACCTTTCTATAAATTAGCGAACAGGAGGAGACGCGCATTTTCATGCCTATATGCATGATAGCCATCATATAGGGATGAGCAATTACTACGTTGGCAGCACTGCACAGAACAACACCACCAGCATAGAGATAAGCTTCCGTTTCTGTCGTCTTTGTATTTCCTGGTGTATAATAGGAAATCAGTCCGCCGATAAAGCTGGCTGTGTCACTCTGGAAACAATTTAGGGTTAGCCGCAAGCAATGGTGAAAATATTAGTTTTGGCGCTAATATTTACAATTAACCATTGCACCCTTCAGATAATATATAAAACTAGTGGTGCATGGCATCGCGAAAAAAAATTCAACTTCCTTTGAAAATCTTCACTCTGTAAAAATCGATCTTTGAGATTTAGAAAAAATTACCCGTGTGGACCACATGCCTAAATTCACCAGTAAAGGATTTATAAGGCAATATGTTTCAGAAACAAAATATATGTTAACATTTTTATGCTCAAAGGGCTTTAAACAACGAGCATTTAAAATCAATCAAAGGCCAATAACATAATAAATATATACATATATATATATACATATATATATATATATATATATATATATATAATATATAGCAAAGTTATTTCTATGTTAATTAAAAAATGAAAATTTTTATATATAAAGTAAGTACCTGCATAATTTCTAAAATTTAAATAAAGACCCTATCAAAAAACGTTAGTTTTAAAAGATCTGGTTCAGTATTTCGTCTCTGTACAAGAAATTAACATTTCTCAAATTCAAAAATATTATTTATCAATATGCGCAATCATTAAGCCTTTTTTCTAAAAAAGGCAAAATATTATACTGAAGGGTGCATTGTTATTTAAACAATGCCACACTTTCGATACCATTTGAAAATTTTAAATCTCAGCAGGATATAAGTCGGCCAAGATTAGTTAAAATGCTGAATTTGTTAGATTTATAACAACATTATTAATTAACCAGCATCTAACTAAACTAATTCTGTTAAGGTATGAAATACTAAATAGGCAATTATTGTTAAACATTTCCACGTCTTGAAACGTATGGTAAATAAATTGCCAATTTAGTATTAAATTGTTAACATTTACATAGTTAACTAAATTTGAAAATTAAAGTGACTACTATATAAACAGACGTACACAATACATTGAAAATAATTATAATTTACATACAAAGTACTAAATAATATTTATTAATAATTAAAGAAAAAATAATTGATTCCGTTATATACCTACTAATAGCAATTAGATATGCTAATGTAACCTTCATACATTTTATCAATAACCAAAATTACAACACATGGCAAGTAAAAACTTGTCGAAATACCGTATAAAACTTCTACCTGTAAAAACATATTCGGTAACATGTAATTTAAAAGATGATCCGTGAATTTTTTTTATTGGAACGATGAGATAAAACTAGAACACTCAAGGATTCTGAACACGTGGTTTCCAAAATCATGCAAACAAAGTATGATAAACCAAAAAATTATTAAAAATATTCATCTATGTGCGTTTTTAATATTTGTAGCTAATATGTTCTTTATCTACAATAAATTATTTAAAATAAGGGAGCTAACAAACAAAAAAAAAATGAATATTGACACATCTAGACTACAA